TTTGGATTTTTCCTGTTAGTCTTTCTTTCAAGAAGTGTCTTCTGTTCCTCTAGCTGTTCCAGGCTGGTCTGCTTGTTCTTTCAAGTAGGAAAAAATTAGAAAAAAATAGCAAACAGTAACAACAATAGATGTGCCTTGCTTTACAAGAAAAGAAAAACAGGTTATAGTATGATTATAAACTGGGGACTGCCTATACAGCCGGTGTGGTGCTATGAGTCCTGGTGTGGCACTGTGGGTTAATGCGTCAGACTGCAAAGTCATTTGAACTGCAAGGTTGGTGGTTCAAGCTCACCAGCTGCTCCTTGGAAACCCATACAGATTTGTTATGGGTTGAAATCAACTTGACGGCACTTAACAACAACAACAACACCTATACAGCAGTGACCAAGATTGGCAGGGCCTATTTTCATGGAGGTGTCCAAAAACAATTTAAAAGTAGTAAAGCTCCATCTCATCAGTCAAAACAAGGCCAGGGGCTGATTGTGGAACAGACCATCAATTGCACATATGCAAATTCAAACTTAAGCTGAAGAAAACGAAAACAAGTCCAAGAGAGCCAAACTATGACCTTCAATATATCCCACCTGAATTTAGAGAGCACCTGAAAAACAGATTTGATACTTTAAACACTAAAGACCGAAGACCAGAAGAATTTTGGGATGAAATCAAGAACTTCATACAGGAAGAAAGCAAAACGTCATTAAGAAGACACGAAAGAAGGAAAAGGTCAAAATGGATGTCAGAAGAGACACTGAAACCTGCTTTCCAGTATTGAGATGCTAAAGTAAACAGAAGAAATGAGGAAGTATAAGAGTTGAACAGAGAATTTCAAAGCTCAAGAAGGTAAAGTCAAAAAATTACAACAAAATGTGCAAAGATCTGGAGTCAGAAAACCAAAAAGGAAGAACACACTCAGCATTTCTCAAGATGGGGGAAGTGAAGAAAAAAATTCAAGCCTCAACTTTTGTTATTGAAGGATTCTCTGGGCAAATTATTGAATGATGCAGAAAGCATCAAAAGACTATGGAAAGAATACACAGAGTCACTGTACCAAAAGGAAATGCTTGATGTTCAACCGTTTGAAAAGGTAGCAAGCATATGATCAAGAGCCAATGATACTGAAGGAAGAAGGTCAAGGTGCATTGAAGGAATTGGCAAAGAACAAGGCACCAGGAATTGATGGAATAAAAATTGAAATCTTTCAAGAAAGTGAGGTGGCACAGGAGGCACTCACTCATCTATGCCAAGAAAGTGTTGAAGAGCAAAGATGTCAGCTTGAGGTGTGGGTGACCCAAGCCATGGTATTTTCAATAGCTTCATATCCATGCGAATGCTGGACAGTGAATAAGAAAGACTGTAGAAGAATTGATGCTTTTGAGTTATGGTGTTGGAGGAGAATATTGAAAGTGCCATGGGCTGCCAAAAGAACCAACAGATCTGTGTTGGAAGAAGTGCAAGCTAGAGTGCTCCTTGGATGCCAGGATGGCCAAACTTCTTTTCTCATACTTCGGACATATTGTCAGTAGGGACCAGTTGTTGGAGGACATCATGTTTGGTAAGGTGGAGGGTCAGAGAAAAAGAGGAAGACCCCCCAGAGAGATGGCTTGGCCAAGTGTTGGCAACAATTGTGAGGTTGGCCCATTCTGTTGTTCATAAGGTCACTATGAGTCGGTACCGACTTGATGGCACCCAACAACAACAAGAAATGCCATAAAGAAAATAGGCAGAATTATATGATGGGGGAAGGGAGCAGACTATTTTGGCCAGGCTGGCTAAGAAAACCTCTGTAAAGAGATGTTTTTGGGTGGAGACATTAAAAATGTCAAGTGGCAAGCTTTGCCTGTTTGTGGGGAAAGATTATTCCAGCTGAAAGGAAAAAGAAGTTAAAAAAGTCCTGTGGATTTGAAGCTTGGTATGCTTAGACCTTGTTAAGCAGTTTAGATTTTCTTGTGATGGTAGTTGTTAAGTGCCATCCTGTCGGTTTTGACTCATAACGATCCTGTATAGGGTTTCCAAGGAGCGGCTGGTGAGCTTGAACCTCCAAATTTGTGGTTCAAGCTAATGTTGCAGTGCAGTGCATTAATCCACAGTGCCACACCATGACTGCAGTGAAGGTGGTGGTGTCATTAATTGCCATTGAGTCAGTTCCAACCCCAAAGTGACCCTTTATAAGCTGGTGAGCTTGAACTGCCAACCTTGCAGTTCAAATGGCTTTGCAGTCTGGTGCATTAAACCACAGCATCACACCAGGACTCCAGGTGCTACAAAGAAGAGTGATGACATGAGTTACATTTTTAAGATTGCTTTAACTGCTCTCTATAGATCATCAGGAGCTGAGTCATCACAGACTAACACATACTAGAATTTGTCCTCTGTTTTCTCATTTACTTCTCTCATCATTAGGATGAGTCCTAAATTCCTTCATCTCTTCATCCTTGGCTTGGAAAGCAATCTAAGGGGAAAAAAGAGCTGTAGGTGTATCCTAAAAAGTGGCCTAATGGTAACCTTCGTATAGAGTTACAAGTGAATCAGGGCTCAGGTGTAGCTGCCAGAGGAGGGAGACAGTGTGTTATTGCTACTTAAATGTTGTGGAAACTTGTTCTGCCCCTCTCCCTGACAGATTTAATATAGGTTTACATAACTTTATAGTTTAAAAGTTAAATCCCTCATAATTCCACTGTTATTTTCACTTCTTGTTTTATTTAGATTTTCCCTTTTTCTTTGTTTTTAGTTCTAGTTTTTTCTCCTTTCTCGATTAATATAGAAAAATTTCAAATTATACTTTTATTAGATTTTTGTTTTATCTTAGATGTCTTTTTACATCTTTGCACATTTTATCACATGGATATTAACATAATTTAATTCCATATTAGGAATTTCTTTCTCCCATGTCCAAATTTTCAAGGCTAAGAACAGTGCTGCAGTGAATTATCTTTGTGTTTATCTCCTTAGATACTTTTCTGCAGGATAAATTCCTAGATAATTTTGAATCTTTAAGAAAATAATCAGAATCCTAATAGTTTTTACCATGTTCCTCTCCAAAAAAGGCTATACCAATTTAGCATTCACCAAGGTAGTCTGAGGAGAATGCTATTTTGTGATCTTGAGTAAGGTTTTAAACCTCTCTCTTTTAGTTTCCTCTTTGATTCAGGCATGTACTTGAACATAGTGGATATTCAGGAAGAGAATGTTGGTTGAGACCAAGAGGTTTGGACTAAATGGTCTTTAAATCTTGGCCATTTTAGCTCTTAGGAAGAGTAAGGGATATAGAGTCACATAGACCCAGCTGTGGGTCCTACCTCTAAGGTAAATGTGAGAATGTTTTCAATTGTAAAATACCTAACGTATTTCTGTAAGGATTAAAGGAATGGGGCTGGGGGTAGTATGAGTAAGGTGTGGCACTGTAAAATCAGCACTGGACTGCAGACTATAAGGTGGGCAGTTCAAATCCACCAGCTGCTCCTTGGAAATCCTCTACAGGGTCACTACGAGTCAGCACTTAACAACAAAAAGTATGAGTTGAATGTATGCTTATGTACACTTGCTCATACATAGTTGTTGTGTAGGTACCATTGAGTCTCTAGTATTGTTAAATGCCATTGAGTCAGTTCCATCTTATAGTGACCTTATATAGGGTTTCCAAGGAGCGACTGGTGAATTTGAACCATTGGCCTTCAAGTTAGCAGTCAGTGCATATCCTACAGCATTGTACAAAGACCCCTAGTAAATGTGGAGCTGTCACTCACTAAAAGTCAGAACCAACTCAATGGTAGTAACAGCAACAACACTAGTAATAAGACAAAGCAAGAATTTAAAGCAGGAAGGTTTGAGAAAGACAGTATCTCCTATCAACCTCAAGATTTGTTGAAGGAGACAAACCCTTACTTCTCTACATGATTACTGATCCCCAGCCAGTGCTGGGGCATTGTGTACCCTGACTGCTAAGGCAGAGTATTTAACTTATTTACTGTCATTTTGTGACTATTGTACACTTCAGTAGGAGTTATTATCTATGATGCACAATGAAACTTTATTTTTGGTTAAGTGACTGTTTGTTTTATTCTGTTTTTAAGCTTTCTTTCTACATCAAAATTGAATTATAAATGTTATGGTGAAAACTTTGTGGATTTTAAATTTAAGTAGAGATGTTATTGTTGTTAAGTTCCAACTCATAATGGCCATGTGTAGAGTTTCTGAGAAGTGACTGGTGAATTTGAACTGCCAATGTTGGGGTTAGCAGTCCAGTGCTTATCCCACAGCGCCACCCCAGGACTCCATTTAAACAAAGATGGAATCTGATTGTATTACCTGGCTGTCCTTTGACAAGTAGCATGACTTCTCTGCCTTGTTGCTATATAAAAAATAGAATATATGGAAGAAGGGATTTAAAATCTACGGGCCTCCTATATAAATAAGAGAGATAATTATATATAAAGAGGCTAACATGCATCCTGGCAAAATGAGTTTTCCTTTCTTGAAGGCAGATATTATGATTACACTTTTTTGTATTTCTCATAGTACTAATGCTCATTCTCAAGGGTAGTTCTTCATACTTAATATAGAATTAACAATAACAACAAAGAAATGTAATAGAAAAAGTATTAGGCTTGAAAGTCAGGAGACTTGGGCTCATTCATGTTCAAGTTGGTTTTTAACTGTTAGCATAATCCTTGATAAGTCTTTTGACCTTTGGTTCTTGGTTTCCTAATTTTTGAGTTGTCTATGAGCTAGCTGTTTCATGGGAGAAAGATGATGCTTTCTGCTCCCGTAAATATATACAGCCTCGGAAACCCAGTACAGGGTTGCTATGAGTTGGAACCGACTCCACGGCACATAACCACCACCACCATGAACTATTTTATGATCTCATACTAACAGACAAGTTTTATTTTCTGGTTACCTTAATTAAGAAGTTATCATGCACAAAAATAATATCTTTATAATTACTTTGGGTTAATTGATTTTGCATTCGAATGACAACTATTTGTCTTTCTTACCAGGTTTAATTTTTATTTAAGCTGCATCAATGGAGCACATACAGGGGGCCTGGAAGACGATCAGCAATGGTTTTGGATTAAAAGACTCGGTGTTTGATGGCTCCAGTTGTATCTCCCCTACAATAGTTCAACAGTTTGGGTATCAGCGCCGGGCATCGGATGATGGCAAGCTCACAGATTCTTCTAAAACAAGCAACACTATCAGAGTTTTCTTACCAAACAAGCAAAGAACAGTGGTATGTAAACATTGCCTCAGAGAAAATTTAGCTGATTACCTTGCCTATAGCAAAAGCATATGAGCTGTGTTGCTCATCTTATAGATAAGCAAAATATTCACTGGCATTTAGTGTCTTTTTATTAATTGGCTTTCCGATTACAGGTTTCATTGCTTTGTATAATTGTTGTGTTCCTTCCCACCCCCAACTTTGTCCCATCTCTTGGTCTTATGTTAATACTTTTGTCTAGAATACCTTCCTTTCTCCCATTTTATTGAAATAAATAATACATTCTTAATAGGTTATAGAAGTCCCAGTGTGGCACTAGAAGATAATGCACTGAACCATAAGGTCAGTTTGAACTGCAAGGCCAACAGTTCAGACTCACCAGTCACTCCTCGGAAACCCTATACAGGGTCGCTGTGAGTTGGGACTGACGGCACTTAGCAACAACAAAAAAAAGAGAGAAGGTGTGTGTATCTATATATTGTTGTTGTTGTTGTTAAGTGCCGTCAGTTCCAACTCATAGTGACGCTGTATGGGATTTCCAAGAAGTGGCTGGTAAGTTTGAACCGCCAACCCTGAAATTCAAACTGACCTTGCAGTCCACCAGGACTCGCTCTCTCTCTCTCTACATACATATCAAAGATCTTCTTTGAAGAGCTCTATTAGATCTATTAGATCTTTGGGTGGGAAAAGATATTATTTGCTTCAGAAGATTATTTTGGTATATTTCATAAGCCAAGTCAAGACTGGAAGTAGCTTACAATTTTTAGCACGTTTTCTTCTCTTCTCAAGGACACCACCTCCACCAACCAGACTATTTCAGAGAGTCTGTTTTTGTTGTACCAGATAAAAGTTTATCATGCAGGACAATTTACTGCTCAAAATAAGTTTCTTCTATCCTGGGGGACAGGGAAGGATCTACTACTTGGTTGAAACAGAAAAGTGAAATTGTGCTGACTTTGCTTGCTTGAACATTTGAAAAAACTTGAACTCAAAACTTCAGTGCCTCTCCTAGCCCCCTCCTATTCGTTGTGTAAAATCAGTACATTATATGTAGCCTGTATGTCTAAGTAAAGCACATCCTTAGTTAGGAAGTCCAGTCCAGAATTTTCAGAGTTTGCTTCTAGTCCCATTTTCTCCAGTTTGCTGATAAATTCCTTTAAACTTCTTTTTGAACCAAGAGTGCTAGTTCTATACTAGTGTTATAGTATTGGATATTTAGGTGCATTTTGAACTGAAGGCGAAACTGCAAAGGCTGTAAAATTTGAGTCTCTTTTAGGAGTCCCTGAGTGGCACAAACTGTTAAGCATTGACTACTAGCCAAAAGGTGGTTGTTCAGAATTACCCAGAGGTGCCTTGGAAGACAGGCTTGGTTATCTGCTTCCAGAAGGTCTGCCTTAAGACTATAGAGCATTTCTGCTCTGCACAGATGGAGCCATGAGTTGACATGGACTTGATGGCAACTAAGAACAACAAAGTTGTGGCTGGCAAAATAATTAGTACTAATATTTGAATAGTGGTCTATAGTTTACAAAGTGAGTTTTATCTTTTATTTGTCAACTTTATTTTTAAATTGAGGTTCCAGGTAGGAAGTGGGAGTGTGATGAAGGGAAGCTGAAGACTATCTGGTACGCCTTCTGGGTGTTCCTGTGGCTGTCACGAGACTTTTGTTGAGGTGTTAAGGAAAGATACTGGGGAAACTTCTTCCCTGTCCACTCCCTGTTTGCCTGAAATGATGGGAAACTTTGTTTGACGTAGCAATTACGTTTATGAACTTTTAAGTCCACCTGACAAAAATTTAAAATCCCTGCCTTGCCTGTTACCTATATTATCTAGACAAGTTGCAAACTATTTTGAGCCTCTCTTTCCTGACCTTTATAAAATGAGGCTCATACTTACTGTAGTAGCTGATTCATAAGTAAAGTAACTGAGTATTTTCCACCACTTGTCTGTCAGTTTGTCGTGCTGTGGTGGCTTGTGTGTTGCTGTGATTCTGGAAGCTATGCCATGGGTATTTTGAATACCAGCAGGGTCACCCATGGTGGACAGGTTTCAGACGAGTTTCTAGATGAAGACAGATATTTAGTTACCGAAAAGCCTATGGATAGCAGTAGAACACTGTCAGATTGTCTGATTGGAAGGCACTTAAAATGCGACTGTGTAACAACTGCCTCCTCCAAGTAGAGTTGACCATAATGATGCAAATGGGGTGAAGCCCTCAGGACCTTCATTTGCTGATGGAGCACAACTCAAAATAAAGAGAAACAACTGTAAACATTCATTAATAATCAGAACAAATTGTAAATTGTCAGAAATGAAATGGAGCGCATAAACATCAATATCCTAGGCATTAGTGAGCTGAAATGGACTGGTATTGGCATTTTGAATCTGACAGTCACATGGTTTATTATGCCGGGAATGACAAATTAAAGAAGAATGGCCTTGCATTCATCATCAAAAAGAACATATCAAAATCCGTCATGAAGTACAATGCTGTCTGTGATAGGATAATAGCCATACGTCTAAAAGAGACCAGTTAATAATGCCACTGTTACCCAAATTTACACACCAACCACTAAAGCCAGTAATGATAAAATTAAAGAATTCTACCAGCTTCTTTGGAGTCCTGGTGTGATGCTGTGGGTTAATGCACCAGACTGCTAAGCCTTTTGAATTGCAAGGTTGGCAGTTCAAGCTCACCAGCCGCTCCTTGGAAACCCTATACAGGGTCGCTATGGGTCGGAACCAACTCAATGGCATTTGACAACAACAACAGCCAACTTCTTCAGTCTAAAATTGATCAAACACAATCAAGATGTATCGATAATTGCTGGTGATTGGAATGCAAAGGTTGGAAACAAAGAGGAAGGGTCAGTAGTTGGAAAATATTGCCTTGGTGATAGAAATGTTTCTGGACATCACATCATAGAATTTTTTTTATTTTTCCCTCCCCATCTGAGCAAATGTTTATTATAAGAAAGAGGTGTGTAATGGAGATTGGGGGGAGGGGGCTTAAGGCAAAGCTTAACCCTCATCTTCCCAAAGACTTTGCTGGGGTTTAACAGGTGTTTTGTTTTGTTTTGTTTTTTTGCCCCCCAAATATTTTATTGTGAATTATGTGATAGTTTACATGGGAGACCATTAGTTTTACATTCATCCTATCGTATATCATTTCATTGTCATGGTTACAATCCCCTCCATGCATCATCAACCAACCAAAGGGTATACACTACAAGCCTGCCTCCTGGTCGTGAGCACACAGCCCCTCTCCCTCTCTGTGTCTGAAGTCCTCAGCTGCTCCATCTCTCCATGTCATCGTCTCTGCCTCCTTCTAAGGCATCAGTGCTTCTCTGGGTAGGGTCCCACTCTCTGCTCTTCTCCCTTGATGGTCCCAGGGACCTCCATTCCTAGA